TCAAATTTTGTTTGGGAAAGTGGAGGAGCCGATAATTTTGAATTTCCGATTGTTTGTAGGGTTTTGGTAGTATTCGTACTCAGTGTCCACTGTATGCTGCTATTATTAGTTTCGATTTCGCTTAGTTGGAAAGCGATTTCGGAACGTTAGCAAGGAGAAATGATATGCTTGATAAATTGTTCGTTGTGCTTTCGTTTCGGTTAGCGAAATATGAGGATTAGTGGAGGGGGTTAGTGTGTTCGAATTTCGATCCTCTCTTTTGTGTATGTTTACTGGCACTTTTGTGTTTTCTGATTCCAGTTTTCTCGCTCGGATATGATATCTTTAATCCGAGATTTGGAACTGTTTTCTGCTTATTCTGTTAATTTTGATCTTGGAATTAGTATTTTTCTAACTGTTTTGTGACTGATCAATTTAAATTATGTTTGGGAAAGTGAACGCGCCCATAATTTTGGATATCTAATTCTAGTGTTTTGATAGTTCTCCTGACTCAGTTTGCACTTTGTACTGTTATTTCTAGTTTCATTTCTGCTAAGTTGGAAACATTTTCAGAATAGGTAACAAGGAGAAATGTTATGCTTGATAAGTTGTTAGTTGTGTTTATTTTTTCTCTTGGCAAAACTAGGGTTTTATGAGGATTAATGAAGGGGTTGTTCTTTCTAATCGTTGTGAGTGATTTTTTTTCCCTAGTTTGTGGTAATATGGAATGGATTCAAATTTTTACTGTGGCGTTGTGAGTAGAGGTGATTAATGGATGCATGAGTTAATTGGGTATGGATGATTATCGTCCCATGTATTATCTGTCACTTAGTAATAGTTCTGATAAATAAGCCGTGGGATACTTTGTGATCTATTTTGGATTATTAGGATTATTTTCTATCACTGAGTTTCTGTGTTCCCAATGTCTTGATACCCGTAAGGCTAGCCGACATTCACCTCTCCCAGACCCTGCGTAAAGCGGGAGCCTTGTGCACTGGGTACGACTGAGTTTCTGTGTTCCCAATGTCTTGATACCCTCCCTCTTTAACCTCTGTTCCTATGAGTTGTCCTGATACCTCTGTGTTTGATATTTGTATTTGTATGATTTGAACTGCTAGTTGAATCGTAGACAAGATGATTTGTTGGTTGATTCAAGATTTATTTCATTAGGCCTTAATTGCCTTTTCGCCTTTATATAACAAAAATGGTTTATGTAAAGAGTTCCATAATGCTACTTGGTTAGCGCATATGCCTCCTCCCTAAATCGTGATTTATAAGATGCGTTTATAGAACTTAACGAAGTTCAGTTCTATTTAGTGCATATGTTAATGCATGTGTGAGTGTGATTACAATTTGTTTTGGTATCATTAATAATTTTATTGGATTATTGGTTTTAGATTTAAATGGCGATGGAGGTTACCCAAATTCTTATAAATGCACAAGCAGTTGATGGGAATGTACGCAAGCATGCTGAAGATAGCCTCAGACAGTTTCAAGAACAAAATCTTCCAAGTTTCTTGCTCTCTCTTGCTGGAGAATTGGCCAATGATGAGAAGCCTGTTGAGAGTCGTAAGCTAGCGGGCTTGATCCTCAAGAATGCTTTGGATGCCAAAGAACAACATAGGAAGTTTGAGCTCGGACAAAGATGGTTGTCCTTAGACCCATCCGTGAAGGCCCAGATCAAAGCTTGTTTGTTGAAGACCCTTTCTTCTCCTGCCCACGATGCTCGGTCAACTGCATCTCAAGTTGTTGCAAAGCTTGCCGGGATTGAGTTGCCACTTAAACAGTGGCCTGAACTGATAGAAGCTCTATTATCGAATAATAATCAACTTCCAGCTCATACCAGACAGGCAACTCTTGAAACTCTTGGGTACATATGCGAGGAAGTATCCCCAGATGCTGTAGAGCAAGATCAAGTGAATAAAATGCTTACTGCTGTAGTTCAGGGCATGAACTCTACTGAGACTAACAATGATGTCAGGCTTGCAGCCACAAGAGCTTTGCATGATGCTTTAGGTTTTGCTCAGGCAAATTTCTCAAATGATATGGAGCGTGACTATATAGTGAGAGTTGTATGTGAGGCTACACTTTCCCCTGAAGTGAAGATTCGACAGGCAGCCTTTGAGTGTTTGGTTTCTATATCTTCAACATATTATGAGAAGTTGGCTCCGTATATACAAGATATATTTAGCATCACTGCTAAGGCTGTGAAGGAAGATGAGGAACCTGTTGCACTTCAAGCCATTGAGTTTTGGAGTTCAATATGTGACGAGGAGATTGACATATTAGAAGAATATGGGGGTGATTTTACCGGGGATTCTTCTATTCCATGCTTCTACTTTATCAAGCAAGCACTTCCTGCTCTGATTCCTTTACTATTGGAGACTCTTCTTAAGCAAGAAGAGGATCAAGATCAGGATGAAGTGGCCTGGAATGTTGCAATGGCTGGTGGAACTTGCTTGGGCTTGGTAGCACGAACAGTTGGAGATGATATTGTTCCACTTGTAATGCCATTTATTGAGGAGAATATTACAAAGCCAAATTGGAGGCAGAGGGAGGCAGCCACATATGCATTTGGTTCTATTTTGGAAGGCCCATCCCCTGAAAAGCTCATGCCTCTAGTTAATGTTGCTCTGACCTTCATGCTAAATGCTTTGACGAATGATCCAAATAACCATGTGAAGGACACTACCGGTTGGACTCTTGGAGAATATTTGAATTTCTTCATGGGTCAACTTTGGAGACGCCCATAATAACCCAAGCGAATTGCCAACAGATTATCACAGTTCTCCTTCAGAGCATGAAAGATGTTCCAAATGTAGCTGAGAAAGCTTGTTGTGCACTCTATTTTCTTGCCCAGGGTTTTGAGGATGCAGGACCTTCTTCCTCTCCTCTGACTCCCTTTTTCCAGGATATCGCCCGAGCCCTTCTAGATGTCACTCACCGAGAAGATGCTGGAGAATCCCGCTTGCGAACTGCAGCTTATGAGGCTCTGAATGAAGTGGTAAGATGTTCCACTGATGAGACTGCTCCATTGGTGATGCAGTTAATTCCTGTCATAATGATGGAACTCCACCAGACACTTGAGGGGCAAAAGCTTTCAGCTGATGAGAGGGAGAAGCAGAATGAATTACAAGGCCTTCTTTGTGGTTGCTTGCAGGTCATCATACAGAAGCTTGGGTCATCTGAACCGACAAAATATGTCTTCATGCAGTATGCTGACCAGATGATGGGTTTGTTCTTGAGAGTGTTTGCTAGTAAAAGTGCCACAGCTCATGAGGAGGCAATGCTTGCCATTGGAGCTCTTGTCTATTCAACAGGCTCAGATTTTGCTAAGTACATGACCGAGTTTTATAAATATTTGGAAATGGGTCTCCAGAATTTTGAGGACTATCAGGTTTGCGCCATCACCGTTGGTGTGGTGGGGGATATATGCAGGGCTTTGGAGGATAAGGTATTGCCTTATTGTGATGGGATTATGACCCAGCTCCTCAAGGATTTGTCCAGCAACCAATTGCACCGATCTGTGAAGCCCCCAATTTTTTCATGCTTTGGTGACCTAGCTTTGGCAATTGGGGAGAATTTCGAGAAGTATTTGATGTATGCTATGCCCATGCTTCAGAGTGCTGCAGAGCTATCTTCCCATACATCAGGTGTCGATGATGATATGGTAGAGTACACAAATACATTGAGAAATGGAATTATGGAGGCGTACTCTGGTATCTTGCAAGGATTTAAGGGCTCCCCAAAGACCCAATTGTTGATGCCGTATGCACCGCATGTTCTTCAGTTCTTGGATAGTTTATACATAGAGAAGGACATGTAAGATCATCTGGAACCTATACTATAACTTTCGTTTACAATTGTTTGTTTGTTTGTTTGTTTTTTTTTTTTTTTTTTTTTTTGTATTAGTTTCTGGTATTTATTTAATTTTTTTTGTTTGCTTTTTCAGGGATGATCTGGTGATAAAGACTGCCATTGGGCTACTTGGAGATCTCGCTGATACGCTTGGTAGTGCTGTTGGCCCGCTAATTATGCAATCTATGTCAGCCAAAGAGTTCCTAAATGAATGTCTCATGTCAGATGATCCTTTGATTAAGGAATCTGCAGAATGGGTCAAGATTGCTATCAGTCGGGCAACTAACTTTTGAGGCGACTGCTGCATAGCATATTCTCATTCGTACATGCATTTGGGTGTCTTGAGTTGGGGTCTGGGATTGCATATCGTGAGAGTCAGGTCATCACCATATTTTGGCTGAGATGTTTGCGTCAACGTCAGTCAGTATACCAAGTCAGCATCGGGGAGTCAGTTTTTTCGTCTTATTTTTTAAATATTTTTCACTTGCATTGCATTGGACGAAGTTGGCGGTGATGACTTCTGTGTCTCTGCTATCTTAGCAGAAAGAGATGAATAGAAAAGAGAAACTGGTTCAATGGTGTCCGAGGAAAAAAGGTACCCCATCATGCCCGTGCCGCTGCTGTCTTTTGTGGGACGAGAGAATGGCTGTTTCATGTGTCTGAAGTTGATGGTGGTAAAAGTTTTTGGTTCAGAAGTCGCCGAAATCAGGGCCCTTGAGCAGTTCTGTAAAGTGTCTGCATTTTCTCTCCCCATATATTTTTCTTTCCTCAGCTGAATTTGGTGTTCTAAAGTATTTGCATTGTTACATCGCATGCCAAATTGTGAAAGAGTTTTGTAGTCCTGTCCTTTATACTTGCTTGTTACGTAGGATAGGCGACGTCGGCAGAATATTTTGGGCAAAATTCATGCATACATTTTAGTCAAATTGCAATCGTATTGTTGTACTCACAGGAATATTTGTCAAGTCAAATGTTAAATCTCATGCATTTTATTCAAATTTTCGTCTTCTGCTGCCTTACTATTGCCTTGTTATTATCTTGTATTCGGTAATATCGTGTCCATAGTGATTGAACATTGAGCAGCTGCCTGTACATAATCCGATGAAAGTTTATAGAATTTCAACTGCTGGACAAGATGAGTGAGTAATTTTATGTTAAATTAGCAGTTTAGAAAAAGAGGGTTTTAAATTATGGATTTGATATAACATGCCAAAATTTACATAATCGGATAAAATTAGTCAGTTATCAATGAGCGAGAAACTTGACTCGAAGAAAGAAAAGGGGTGAGGATGTGAATTTGGGACAATTCTGTACCTACTTGCTTGCTAAGCTTTTAAAGATCAGCTTAAATGAAAATGATTGATTGTTATTGTGATGTTCTGTTTCAATAATAATATACTGTGAAAGATTATACACGAGACATTGTATTCAAAGATCGGGATGCCGCCAAGCTGGTGAATCTGTTGTATACAAGTTCCCCAGTCGTAGCCAAACTGTTGTGTGGGGGCACAAACTATCTATAGATTCACTTATAATTATATAGAAGTAAGTATAACAAAAGCCCATATTCCCCGAAAATGCGATAATTTGGTTGTATCTCTCTCTCTCTCTCTCCCCCCCCCCTCCCTGTCGCGCCCTGTGGCTGTGGACGGTGGACTGTGGGAGTGTGTGTGCATACGCCCGCGTTCACCCCCGCAAACGCGATTTCCGTCACTCTCTCTCGCTCGCTCATTCATTTCTCCCAACAAAACCACCACACCCACCGGCCACCACCTTTTTCCGGTTCCCGAAACCCTAACCAACAACAATTGCGAGCCTTCATCAATGGCGATCTCATCTCCACCAGTTCCGACCTTCTCCGCCTCCTTCTGCCGCACCCGCACCGAGTTTCCCTCCACCTTTAATCGCATCCCTTCCATTTTCTCCCGCGCTCACCGAGCCAAACCTCACCCCCTAACTCGCCGGCTCGCCCTCTCCGCTCGTCTCAACTCGTCCAAGTCTTCCGATGCCGGCGGCTCGGTCTCGCCGGACAACGGCGACCTCCAGTACGAGCTCTTCCACGGATTCTCGCCGCAGCGCTGCCGGAGAGGATCTCCGGTGTTCGTCACACTGCCTGTGCACTCCGTTGGGTCACTGGGCGCGGTTCGGAGGCCCAAGGCCATGGTCCAGTCGTTTAAGGCCCTGGCCGTGGCCGGAGTGGAAGGCGTGGTCATGGAGGTGTGGTGGGGTCTGGTGGAGAGGGATCGACCCATGCTTTACAATTGGGAAGGCTACTTGGAGATCGTCTCTCTGGCTCGACGCTGCGGATTGAAGGTTCGGGCCGTCTTGGCGTTTCATCAGTGCGGCGCTGGGCCGGAGGACTCTCATTGGTCAGTTTTGTATTTGTTTTTCTTCAGGTTTCAATTAATTTAATTTATTCTTTAATTATATTACTAATTGGTCTTTGTTGAATTGGTTTTATTTTATGTACTGTGTTTTCTTTATTTGGATTGGATTTGTATTACTTTTTAATGGGATTAAGTTGCATGCTGTTTAGAATCTTAAATAAGGACCTGCAATCGAAAGCTAGAATTTTCCATTTTATTAATTCCAGTAATTAAACAGTTTAATTTTGTACTGTATTGTTTCTTTTGACCAAATGTGTTTTTGAGGATTGGAATATACTGCAAATTCTGAAATTGAAATATGAAATGAATGGTTTGCCACTCTGTAAGGATTCATTGGTTCTAGGAAAACTTCAGCGATTTTCGTTTGATCTTCATAGATTGTGTCTTCTGCATAATATATTATCTAAGGTAGAAAGTTTCAAGAACTTACATAAGGGTTATATTATCGTAAACACTTCCCCTGGTGATGTTCATTTTCGGATCTTCTGAGATGCCTCAAGTGTCCTTGTAATTGGGATCACATATTTACTTATTGGGCACCGATGCATTTAAGCTCATGTCACTTTGAGATATAGCTCGAGGCTTAAAGGTAGCAGGTAAGACCAGTTGGGCTGATTTACCTTTTTCCGGCATTTTGTTGAACTGTTTCGCTGAACTTTATTTGCTTCTTACATGTTCTACTTTCGTCCTTGTACTGTACCCAAGGAATATCATTTACAACTTATGAACTGAGTAATGTTTTAGAGATTTAGCTGTTCCATTAACGATTTCAGATTGCCTGATGTTTTAGAGATTGAGTTGTTCCATTAAGATTTCAGATTGCCTGTCGTCCTTTCCCCATTAGTACTGTTTAGCTGTATTTTTCAAGAATATTCTGTTAGCTAGTTTAAAACCCACTGATGCTGAATCTTGTCCTTTTGTTCATTGAAGGATTCCTCTTCCTCTGTGGGTACTTGAGGAGATCGATAAGGATCCAGATTTAGTATATTCTGACAGATTTGGAAGAAGAAATGTCGAGTACCTTTCTCTCGGGTGTGATATGCTTCCTGTTCTGCGGGGACGTTCACCACTTCAAGCATATGCGGATTTTATGAGGAACTTCAGAGACACTTTCAGACCTTTTCTTGGTGTTGTCATAACAGTAAGATAATGTGGAGTGAATAGTTGAGCACATCAAGGCTGTAGTCATATTGGTATAATCCTCAACAGTTAAATTAAGTGCTTACTTCTTGCAGGGAATTCAAGTTGGGATGGGGCCTGCTGGTGAATTAAGATACCCTTCTTGCCCTACACAGAAGCTAACATGGGCTTGGCGATCTCGTGAGCTTGGAGAGTTTCAGTGCTATGACAAGGTAGGAGGGAATTTGTTTACGAGCTAATACATGAATTTCTGCCTGTGCCTGAATGAGGATGAACTAGTAACAGTCTTTGCTACTCATTTTTCCTGATAATCATATTATTTGCCCCTGTATTGATTTTGTTTTTGTCTTTAATTCCCTTGCCAGTATATGCTTGCGTCTCTCAATGCATGTGCAAGAGAAATTGGGATGCCTGAATGGGGAAATGGAGGCCCTTTTGGTGCTGCCAATTTAATGCAGGATCCTGAACTGACAGAGTTCTTCAGAAGTGATGATGGATCCTGGAATACATCTTATGGTACTTTTTTTCTTGAATGGTACTCAGGAATGCTGGTTCTGCATGGTGAAAGGATGTGCAGGGAAGCTGAGACCATTTTCCGGGGTACAGAGGCTAGTACGTCAGTAAAGATAGCTGGGATGCACTGGCATTACCGCACTAAGTCTCATCCGTCAGAGTTAACAGCTGGCTATTACAATACTTCAACAAGAGATGGATACTTGCCAATTGCTCGCATGTTGGCAAAGTACGGCTTTACTTTGTGCTGCTCAGGTTTTGACTTGCAAGATCAGGAAGAGAGGAAGATGAACCCTGTCAGCAGCCCGGAAGGCCTTCTCAGACAGTTGCTTTCAGCTGCTAGGTTGTGTGATATACCACTGGAAGGTGAAACTTCTGCTGCCAGTTTGGACAATGAATCTTTGCAACAGGTGGTAAGGATGTCAAAGTATTACTCATATGGTCTAGAAAAGCCCTCGTTTTCGTTCAACTTTGTGAGGATGGACAAGAACATGTTCGAATTTCATAATTGGGTTCATTTTACTCGTTTTGTGAGACAAATGTCTGATGCCAATGCCTTTCGAGCCAAGCTAGAAGTTGACGCAATGCCTGATACACGTCGGTCTCCCACTTCCCTTTCAGATGTCACGAAATTTGGAATGGCTTCTGCATATTGCTAGGGACATTCATAACAAGTGTTATATTCTGACACCCCTCGTTCCGCATTTGAAGTGCATACATACATAACATGATTACCTCAGATCGATTGTTGTAAGTTGTGTAGTAATGCGTCAGTTTTCCTGTCGATGATTCTGTTAAGCGTAGTTCTTCTGCAGAGAGTTGTTGCATTGTGTTGTAAATTTGTAATACATGATTGCCTTCCTCATATTTTGAGAATGGTTGGCTTATCGTTAGCTCTATTGTAATTCAAAAAACAAAAATCTAGTTTCTATTTAATGCTCATATTCAGGGATATATTTGTTATTTTTTTAATTCCCATAGTGAAATTTACGAGTTGAAGGTGCATTTTTTTTTAATTTTTTATGGTTGGGGCCAAAATGCTCGAATCAATGGCCGTTGATCGGATGAATGAACAAAGGATGGTGGGAGAGATGTTGAAGAAATATATGAGGAAAGAAAAGCGAAAACTGAAATCGAATATAAAATTTTTTGTCTCCTCTCTCCCACCACCTTTCATAATCCTTCATTATCTCTATATACTTTTCTCATATCTTTAAGATTTTAGATGTCCTAGGAGTTGTAATGGTGTGCAAAGTGTTTATGTTTCCCCCATAAGCTCCAAAGGAGTTTATAACATTTTTATTCACAATTTTTAAGAACATGTTATTCACATTTTATGCCTGTCATTTTCAAATAATTTGACATGCTTACAATGAGGCCGTATTCTGTAATTATAGGTGCCTTATTTTGTGATATAACGTGTCACAACAGTTGATAGTAATAATCAAGAAAAAAAAATGCTAGAATCCATCATAGATCTAATTGTTTTTATACATAAATTACTCATAAAACAGGAACAATCACTTCATCAAAAGTACCGCGTGCACGTGCACGTGCGCAATTGACTTAACAGTCCTCAAATGTGCATCATATATTATATATAGGGACTGTTTATATTCTCCAGACCCACTGCCCTGTATCAGGAGATATGTTTAGGACAAGTGTTGGCCATCTGAATTCTGATGGAAAAAGCAGGAGGACTCGTGAATCTCTTTGTCGCCCTTTATTATCACAGACAGCAGACAGCAGAAGCATGCATATTGAATATATTGATATATTTATAGCACAGTGGTGTGGTTACCCACTTTTGTGGAGACGTGACTTCATCCAAATTGGATTAACTCAACAAAGTCAGCTGTGATAAACGTTGGCTCTTCTGTTTCATATACATCATCAAACATGGAGAATTTGATTCAAATATTGTGCTGCCGACAGAGAACAGTGTGGTGATTGGTGCAAGTGTCTGAGGGAAAGAGGGGAGGGATTTTAATAGTTATTGCGAACAGAAATCACGCTGGTGTGCTATTTTACATAATATAATAAAGATGAAATACATATTTCATACAACAAAAATCTACGTTTTATAGTGTGAGTAGAATGAAAATAAAAGTCATGTGACCGTCTTCTTAGTACACCAAAAAGTTACTTGAAAGGGAGAGACGAGAGTTGTGCGGTCAAATTTAAAATGAGAGATAGACATTCAATGATTCAAATATCTTTATTATGGCAAGCAAAACGAAGCGGATCTCTCCATGGCTTTTAGGTAATTCCTGATTCATTTTCTCTCCGAATTGGGGGGGAGGGGGAATGCACCTATACAGAAGCATATGGTATTTCAAGAGTGCTTCCGAGCCTCCCATGGTGCAAATCAAGGCAAACTGTTTCAGCTGTTTTTGTGATTGTGCATACTGCACAGTGCAAGGGGGTCCACCTATAGAATGATTGATTGAATGCACGTTTACTCAAAGCTATATTGATTCAATGTACATTTACAGTGACCATGGTGTTTTATCTGTTTTAAGTGCTAATCCCAAATTAAGGTGCACTTAATCTCGCCCTTCAAATGCTTTGGTAATGAGTTCAGATGTTGGAAACTTCCGTTGATGATCATGAAAATTGTTAAATTTTGTACATGTTAGAGACTAGCTTACTTTAAAATATAATTTGAGAATTTTAACCATTCGAGGAGAATTCAAACATTACTTAAGGGCTGGAAAAAAAAAAGCCATTACTTGACGGAGAGAGAGAGCGAGAGGGTGCGAGAAGTGCTCAAAGGAGATTTGAACACTAAGGCGGAGTGCATAATGACTTTTTGATCGTGCCAATAACAACTTCAAACACTACAAAAAAAATATTTTGCCCGAAAAAATTTGTCAGGCAATTAATTTAAAGAAAAAAAAACACAAAATACATGCTCAACAAAATTATTCATCCGGGCAAACTTTTTAATTTTAAAAAAAATCTAAATTTAAATAGATTATTAAGTTTTAATTATATTAAAATAAATTTTTGAAAACAATCACAATTTGAAAAAAAATATATATTTGATTATATTACAACTGAAATATTCGTACAAATATATGTAAAGTATCCTAAACTAACTACTACTAGGTGGTTGGTGAGATGGCGGCTGAAGGTCGCTCAGAGGATTGAGGAAGCTAATTTTAGAGGCTGCTATTGCTTGGACTATCCCAGCAATGTAACACTTCCAACTCCCCCTTTCCCTAGCGTTGCGCTTCCTCTCACAAGTGTGCAACTTCTTGATGGCGCTCTTCCTTCCAAGTTTCTTCTTCTCGCTAGCCGAAGGCCACTAACTCCAACTCCAGCTGCTGGAGTTTGGAATACGTCTCGTTTGAAGTCTAAGAGCTAGATGTAGAAGATCCCCGAGGTCTTGAACTCGACCCGCTCCTAAGCCGCGTATCTCTTTGCGTTTCTGTCACCCAACCCAGTTCATGAGCAATTGTAGAGATATCTTTGGATTAAGTATCAGCTCCTTCATTGAATCATGTATCCAGTTGTTGCTGGGAGAGGTTGGCGAGGTACTCGTCCTTCTTCTACGACATAGAAGCCAGCAGAAATAAAAAATTAATTTTATCGATCATAATTTAAAAATTTTTAAGTGTACTGAATTTTGAAATTATATTTTTGAACGAAATACTTACTTAAATGTTGTTAACCACCTGGTTTCCATAATTGAAATGTGTATTCCCCAAGCCTCGACTTTCGGAAAAGGGAGCCATTCTCACGCCGTTCCTCGACCCTGAAAATGAGGGGTTGAGAACCAGAGTGATGAAAGTACGACTTTGCTTCTCAGTTAGCCTTATTTCGTGCCGATTTCCTCTGTGAATTAAAAAAATTAATTAAATTAAAAAAAAATTAAAATTAAAAAAAAAAGATTGGTATTAAATGTTAAAAGAAACTTAATTACCTGAAACTCAGGGCTTTGAAAATGATCGCACAACCACTCCTATTCGACCTTCCTCTCCACAAACTCGCGGGGGAGGGGGTGGGGAAGGTGGGCATAGGTCTGCTGTCCCCAAAATATATGTCTCCTTAATGTCTTTTATTTAATATTACGACACATGTCCAACACTTAACAAATAATTACCACTGTTAAATCTTTTTTTTTTTTTGGTTCAAACGTTTAAGTCCTTTCTTATGAAGGCACCCACTGGTACCAGAACCATTCCGATGGACTCATCCTCCATATCTTCCGGCCGCCTTGTTCTTCATATCATCAACAAAACAGTGTTGTGTTTATATACCTATGTGACCCCACCTACTCCTCCACACCTCATCGCCGCCAGCGAGAGCCCACAATTCAAAACGACGATTTCGATTCAAATGGCTAGGCCACCAGTTGCGAGCACACGCCACCAGGAACATCCACTATGCTAATCTTAACGAATTTGTCAAAACAAGTCATTGTATCTTTCAATATTTCAATTTCAAACTCATTTTATCTCTCCATCAATCAATTTTTCAGTTATTGTTAATCTCTCTCAAGCAACACACATTTTCGCAAATTGGAAGGGAATAAAAAAATTTGTTATCAGACTTGACATAAAATTAAGATGCAATAAGTCAAGCAACTCAGGATGGATTGGGTCAACTGGAAAGATTGGAAAACATTCAGTTTGAATCCGAAATTGTAGAATTTGAGTTTCCAATATATATCAATTTCTGAATAAGACGGCAAGAATGAAAACTGAAAAAGTGGTTTTGCTCTAACCCGTGGTTGCAAACGAAGAAATAACAGAGGGGGAGGTTTGTTAAGGGGACTTAACAGTGTTAATTTTCTGTTAAGTGTTGGACAGGTGTCACAAAATTACTGAAGAGACACCAAGGAGACATTTATTTTGGGGACAGCAGACCCGTGGCCGGGGAAGGTGGATCACTAAAAGCTTTAGCAGAAGATGAAAAAGTTTGGGAGTACATGGGCAGCTCGTACTTCCACTCCTTATACCATCTAGTCCATACTCAGTTTATATACTCGGACATACTCGGGCGCTCCATGTTGATGGAGAAGTTAACATAAAATACACAAAAAATAAGTGTATTAGTTTAAAAAATACATTAAACAAGTAAAAGTAATAAAAATAATAAATTAAATTTTTTTCATACTTACTGAGATCTATCTCATCATCTCCTCTTGCACATTAAGGGATAACTTTTGTCATGAAGAGGCGAGCATGGGGCACATAGTGCGGATGATGGCACCTATGCCGGGAGTGAACAAGTTGTGGACTTTCAGGCTTGCTTGCCGATGGAATGGGTTGTAGTCAACCACAATCTTGTTTTGCGTTATGCATGTGATCCTGTTTGAGGACAAATCTCTACAGATCCCTTGCATCGTGATCTTTTTCTCGACTGGGAGTTCTCTGTCTCCCTCCGGGCTCACGGTGGCCGAATCGGCAATGGCCTCAAGGGCATCAATAGGAGGTTGGCATAGCCTCGTGTCGTCTTTGGCTATTAACACGCCTTGTATATCAGGGCACCCGACTTGATGAATAAGTTGTAGTGGGGTCGGCCGCCGACTCGGCATGGGCCAGCTTGGTGCTACTTAGTAACTCTGGTGTTGGGTCACTTTGACCTGAACTGGAGACAGAGCAGCAACCACTGGTGATCAACCACAATGACATTTATGGGAAAAATACACAATAGTTTCCAAACCCTAACATGCAAAATGCTTAATTAAATGAATACATCAGCTTTCTGCAGAAACTAGAAAGCTGATTCGTTTAATGAAGATACATTTATATATGTACATGTTGATTATTTTTCCCAAGTTATAACCCTCATCAAGCTTGGCATCTTCAATCTTTCAAATAATAAGCCACAACACTCCATTTGGGGTTGATTTTTCCTGCTCACAAAGTCTATCATTTGTGCAATTAGCTAGCTAGGCTAAGCTAGTTGATTATATACCATTCTCCCATACCGTTTTCTTATTGTGATCAAATGTACATGAG